CTTCAATTTGCTTGTAATTGGATATGCACTGCAAATTGAATTCTTCAATTCTACCATTTGTTGTGGGGGTGAGTTGCTGAGAGCAACAATAATACTAGTGTTTCCCAACTATCAGGAAAGGAACTAAGAAGTAACAGAGATTGCATTTTATCTCCAAGTGGTATATCTACACAAGATAGTTGATTTACCAGATTCTAAAACTCACTAGTATGTTCAACAACAGAAGTTCCACTATTCAGCTTCATATTAACAAGGTGCGGAGGTGCCTTATCAGTAGGGTCTTGTTCCGAGCGGTCTTGGCCTGGTACATATCTTATAACTTCTTCTAAAGGGCATAAGTGTCAGTTTCTTGTGCAACATGATGAAAGACATTGTGATCAATCCATTGTCGGATTTGACCAATAGTTTTTCTATTAATTTTCTTCTACTCCATTGACCTGAGCGGGTTAGGAATAATACCCTTTAACTCTATTGAATCAAAAAGGTCTTTACAGCTAAGGAAATCTTCCTTTCAAGGTTTCCATAGCTTGTAGTTGGTAGCCCTGAGCATAATCATAGCTCCAGAAGATGAAGTTGACTCGCCAATGGTCATTTTCATCTTCTAAATAATTTTGATTTTTTATTTTAGGAACATCTGAGCAGAATTTCGAAAAACAAGTAGCACCGTTGCGTCTGGAACGACCGAAAATCGTAGGGTGGATACTTTCGGGGTCAAAATACATAATTTGAAAAATAATAGGTGGAAATTATAATTTTTTAAAAATTGAGGGACCAAACTGCAAATTTTCAAAATCTAAAACTGACGGGTGATGTGGCACTGACGTGGCGACATGTGGCAGATAACAGGGCTCTGAAGTAGGAGAAAAGCATGCAGATTACGTGTCTGACGCATGAGTTCTGCAGTCTGTGTGACATTGACGTGTTCCTGACGTCAGCGATGACATGTTGCTGTCATCAGCACTTGCATGTTGTCGACGTCAATGCTGACGTGTGCCGATGTCATTGCTGATGCAGACATCTTTTTCCCTAGAACTGCACGTGATGACGCAAGCACCTTCTCGCTGACGCGTGGATGGTGTGTTCGGTGGCTATTTTTGTGTGTGAAAAATCCAGTTTTCTCCTCTCAATGAGACCAATCCAACAGTGTATTTAGATATCAAATCCGAGCAAAACTTAAAAACAAGATTTTTCAGACAATAGGATTTTATTTGAACCAATATCGGAAAATTACCAAAAGCTCAATCAGGATGTGATACCACTTGTTGGGAATAATAGGGTCGAGCTAATATGAGAGAAAATTACTTCTATTACTTTGTAGAATAGAAAGAAGAGACATATAAGCTCTAACTAAAAACTCTCGAAACACCTCACACATCTCTCAAGGAAATTCACAACTCTTCTTGGTTGTTCTACGATGATATATGATCTAATGATAGAAAACTTTACAAACTTCTCTATTTATAGTACAAAAACTAGGTAGTAGGAAGCTAGAAGGAAGCTTCAATGGAGGGCGTGAGGAAGGTGGCTCATAGGTTTTTGGAAGCTTCCATTGCCATTCTTTTATATGGATGAAGCTTCATGGAAGTTGCTAAGAGTTGGATTCTTCAATTTGCTTGTAATTGGATATGTCCTAGAAATTGAATTCTTTAGTTTCTGCACCTCAACAAGTTTATTATTCAAATTGGAAATGTAGTACTAATAGTTGGCTTGTTCGTCCGATGAGTCTTTTCCTCCGAGGGCTTGGTACCCCGAAACTGAGAGCTAGCTTACAAATTTGGACCATTGTCCTTAGTTTTCGAGGATACCACACTATCCTCCTTCCGAGAGGCCGTGCGAGAGGATTCCTTCGAGTCTCTTGAATTAGGGATGTGTACATCGAACGCTCCTTGCGTTCGGGGTGCAACGAGGGTGATCCTTGAGAGTGATTCATGTTGTCACGCTCACTTCCCACGAAGTTAGAAGATTCGTCATTAGCCGCTTTGCGGATTCCTCAAGCGAGTGTGAGATCTTCTCCTTGCACCACTATGTGTTCGCCAGCCAGGTTTCCCAATTGGGAGACGAGCCTCTTATCTTTTCCGCTCAAATGGGTGTATAGAAACTCTATATACTATGATGAGCTTAAATTTGGGCATACAAAAATGTTTGTATGTAATATGTGCCGCATACACTGACCAGTTTTTGGTACATTAAATTTTTTGATATGGTAATAGAATAATTTTCAGTTGTCTGAGACTTTTCTCTATTTTTACCATGTTATTTTTAAATTGAATAGAGGCTCACTGCTGCATGCCACACTAGATTATGCTGGTTTCTACCGCTGCCTGCCACGCTAGGTAACCCTAGTTTCTGACATCGGATCTAAAATCCTAGCCGAACCATAGGATGTCACCTTCATCGAGTATCCATCGCTTACCTGAACCATCTTCTACATGAACCATCGCCTTCACCGTCCGTCTCCTATGTCGCGAACTTTTGATGTCAAGAACAGATCTAGCCACTGCCATCCCCGCACAACCATGTCTTCTCGAATCTAAAGAAGATTCGACAATCGATGAAGGAAAAGAAGATGAAAGGAGAAGAATAGTGAAGAACTTGGTTGATGGAGATGGAGGACACAGATCTGATCGACGTCAATGGCGGTGAGTGGTGACACAACAGTGATGGCTTGGCAATGGTGGTGACTAGCGGCCGTTAGAGGCAGAGGCGCAGGTATCCGATTGTGAGATTGATCGAGCGATGGAGAAGAGAAGCAGCGGATAGTTGCCAAAACGATTAGTTCACTTTTTGTAAAGTTTGAAATGGTTATATTTGTGTCCTTTCAAATGTTATAGGTAATATTTTTGGTATTCTTGCCTCATTTTAAGTACAACAATAGTATATATGAGAAGATTTATAATACTAATCTTTTGATAAAATTTTACCGTGAGACCGTTATACTATGCACATGTTATACATGTCCTAATATGACATTGTTCCATAATTTAAAAACTACAGCTAATAGGTCTTCTTCTTTGGCCATCTAATCCCCTTCTTCTTCAATTTATCCGGCCATCTCTTTCCTCGATTTCTATGATATTTCTTCTTTTCCCCTTCACTTGTCTTCTTCTCCTTCATCATCTTCAAAATCCTCGTTTCTTCATTTTTCTTTTGCAATTTCTAACTTTAATTTCACCCCCTCGATTTCTATGATATTTCTTCTTTCCCCCTCATATTTCTAACTTTAATTTCGTTTTTTCTTCATCTTCAAAATAAATTTAGGGGTTTTTCTTCATTAATTCAAAACGGAAGTTTTATTAATCTGAAAAAATTATATTTATATTTGAAGGCCTGCAACTTTTCTTCAAGCTATATATCTTATATATCAGATAACTTACATTTTGACTTGCCTCAAGTTGCATATTCATTAACGCGACTTACTTTTCATTTTGACTCAAGTACATTTCCATTAACGCAATTTACATTTCGACTTGTCTTAAGTTACATTTTTATTAAAGTGATTTATATTTCGACTTGCCTCAAGTTGCATTTCCATTAACGCGATATGATTTACATCTTGACTTGCTTTAAGTTACATTTTGCATGCACACAGTTTACATTTCAATTTGCTTCAACCTACATTTTGGATACACGTGGTTTGCATTTTGACTTGTCCCAAGTTACACTTTGCATACACACGGTTTACATTTCATATATGGGAGGCAGAAGAATAACAATTAGAGGGAGTAACATGAGTTACACGTCTGTGCACGGATTAGATTGCCGCTATTTGAGATTACATTTGTAATAATGTTAGTCACTTTTCAATGCACAAGATATACATCACAAAAAATATTGAAAAAAGACATACTCACTATTCACACATGTTTTTAAATTAAAATACAATTTTAAATAACGTCGCTTTTGTTGTGGGAGTATGATTCTCTCCATCACTAACTCTCACAATATAGCGGCTTCATCTTTTGGTATCTCAAGATAATCGCATATAGAGTTAATTACTAATATAGGAGTAAAAGTAATACAAATTGCACATGTAGCACATGGTAATAAAGTTTAGTTGGAGTAAAATAAACACGAGTGAACCAAAATAACCCTAAACTAATTATGGGAAGAATCTGGATAAGTGGGGTGAATGGTGGTTTGTACTAATTGTTTTGAATGACAGTATGCACTGAACAAATGCTCTCTCATGCCATCTCCCACAGCCCACCGCCAAATCCCCCTCCAGCGCCGCACTCCCTCGGTGGCGGTATCAACCATCACCGCCCACACTAGCTTCACCATCATCCGTCGCCACCACTCTGGTCTTCGTAACCACCTTTTATCAAAATCGCTGCAATTGCCATCATCACTTGTTATCACCCGAAAGTACTGTAAACATTAATTGCACTAATTATTTTAGTACAATTAATTAATGGTTGTACATGAAATTAGTGTAGTGTTTTTCGTCTTTTTGCGCCCCTATTTTATATGCGGGTTTAATGCACCAAACTCCCTCGTGAAATACAAATTCGGCGCATTAGCGCATTGTGATTTAAAAAACGCGTTACCCCCCTTAGTTACGGTTATTCATCCGCAAAATTCCTTTTATGAACGAATTTAATTGCTAAAAATGTAAAGTGACTAGTTTTTGGGGTATTATTTAGAATTTTTGACAAAGTTACTTGCATACTCAATCTTTTTATTAAGAAAATTGATTTCAAAATTGTAAAATTTGTTTTTGGAGGTGGTTTTGCGAGAATAATTAGAACACATGGGAGTTTGACATATTTTTTATATTACAGAAGACTAATGTGCCAAATTTATATTTCACGAGCGGTTTGGTGCGTTAACCCCATTTATATGCATATATGGGCTTGTTAATAGCTTTGCAAATGGTAACCCATTTTTAATTGGGCTTAGCGAGCACCTGCTTCAGTCCTACATCCTCAAAGCCCATTTATATGCATATATGGGCTTGTTAATTAGCTTTGCAAATGGTAACCCATTTTTCATTGGGCTTAGTGAGCACCTGCTTCACTCCTACATCCTCAAGGCCTGGAATAGTTCCGCGCCGTATTCACCGTCCGATCTAGGGCGTCCACGATTTGCCTCAATATATGTTCGCCGTCCATTTACATCTTCCTTCTTCACTCGCTTCAGCCGGAAAACCAGCTAATCGAGAGCTACCCACATTGTGAAAATGGTGCAGCGGCTGGTCTATCGGTCAAGGCATAGCTATGCCACTAAGTCTAATCAGAATCGGGTCGTCAAAACACCTGGTATTTATCACTTCGTTCAGCAATCACTTTCTTGATTTTATTGGTTAACTTTCTTCTCATTTTTTCTGTCTAAATTTTGTGTTTATACGTATTTTTCCATAGTATAATCTTAATATGTTTATAATTTATGTAATGAAAACTGAGTTCATGGTTTTTGGGTGCTGCAAACATCGTATGATCAGGTGGGAAGCTTGTGTACCAGAACACAAAGAAGAGGGCTAGTGGTCCTAAGTGCCCTGTAACCGGAAAGAGAATCCAAGGAGTAAGTATTTTTCTACTCTTTTTGTTGGTATGCTTATTTATCAATTTAATTTTTCTCCATTAGCTATTCATTTGATAATATAAGAACTAGAAGATCAGTAAATTATCTGTTTCCTGGAAATTTTCTCTGAGAAGATCACTAGGAAAGTAATTTAGATTTGAGTAGAAAAAAGTTTGGAATCAATGAAAGTTACAAACAATTTGGATTTGAGAAAAGCTTAATGTATATTTTAATTATAAACAATAAGTACGAGATGAAACAAATTTCTAGTTAAATATTTAGTCCATTAATTCTCCAGTGCTTGCTTTTATTTTCAAAGTATTGTGATTGTCAGTGTGGATCCAGGATTTTGGAGGGGGAGAGCATGGAGTTCTTAGTACATAATCTTGATGAGTCAAGTTATCTAAAAAAGTAAACAAAGCTTGATTGAAATGCTGTATGATCGCTTATCATGTTATGGCTCAACTCCAAATGTATCCTAAGGGTGTACAGGTCTGAGAACCCCTTCATTGGCTAGAACACAATGTTCCTAGTTCCAAATCAATTACATGCATGCCATTTTCCTTTAGGACTTGCAGATTAATGGATTGTAGTAGCTCAAACTAAGTAAAGCAATTTGGATTCAATTTCCTTAGGTTTCAGTAATTTAGCTCATCTCTTACATTTGTAAATTCATTGAATGCTTAGTTTCTCAACTTTAGTGAATTGCCTATGGAAGTATGAAGTTAGCCACAAGTTTGAACTTCCTTAGTTTGAATGGGTCTATGTCCTAAGCAACTTTTTTCTGACACTCCTTTTGCATCCACAGATTCCTCACTTGAGACCTGCTGAATACAAGAGGTCAAGATTGCCCAGATGCCGTAGGACTGTAAACCGTGCCTATGGTGGAGTGCTTTCGGGCAGTGCTGTTCGTGAAAGGTGACTTTTCTCAATTAACTCCCTGTCTTGTACCTAGTCTTTTGTAGGTGTTATGATTTTTTTCTTGATTTGACACAGCCTAGTGTTGTTATTCATGTTGAGCCAAAGCTCGAGCATCACATACTCAAGCTTTACTTGAAACTCAATTTTTAAGTTTGGCTTGAGCTTGTCTCTAAATAAAGTTTTGCTTGATCTGAGCTCCTTTGCCACATGCAAGTTGGGGTTATATCTATGAGCAGAAAGTGCAACTAAACCCTGATATGAGGCAATGCTAGATATTTTGAGCCACTCTGGCTCAGGCCATGCATGAATGAGTCTCAAACCCAGCTTGGATTTGACCTGTTTTCTCAACTACGAAGTTACTGCATATTGCATTGCTAAATTTACCTTTGGTCGATCCCAGTTTTATGAAGCTCCCTCCCTATGTGTTTTGTATTGTTATCTGCAGGATCATAAGAGCCTTTTTGGTTGAAGAACAAAAGATTGTGAAAAAGGTTTTGAAGATTCAGAAAGCCAAAGAAAAGCAAGCTTCTAAAGCATAAGTTGTGGGTTAGTTTGTGCAAGATATGATATGCTTCGAGATTGATTTTGGATTATATCTTAGCATTAATTAATGAGAGGATTAATGAACTGTATGTTCTCAAGTTTTTGTTTTGGAGATATTCAGATTTATATTTTCTTGATCTTTTGTTGAATGTTTATCGCACACTTTTATGCTAAGCTTTTTTTGTTAATGTTTTCAGTGTTACTGGAGTTTATTCATATTACAAATCCCCCATTCTCAAAACAAGTCTTTCACAAAGATAACATTAATCAATTTCTTAAATGATTTTTGCGTGTTACATTTCTCAGCAGTCAGTAGTAGTAATGTCTAGGATATAAATATATGTTGTACATATTACATTTTATAATGTCTACAATTTCTGAATCTCTTTTTGACATTTCATAAGCCCGCAATTTGTGGGACAGATGCGAAGTTACATCTTTCATTTTCTCCAATTGATTTTCCAAAATGACCATAAGTCCATAACCGAGGAATAATTTCACCTTTTCAATGTATCAAAATTGGTGGAAAGATTATTTTGTCAAATAAAAATTAACTCTAGATAACGTCTAACATTTTCTATCCTCTACTTCGTCCACAAATCCAACGATGGCTTGAAATCCTTGAATTAAGTTCAACATAAAGCTATTCCCCTGGAACAAGTAATTGTAAAACACCATTTGTGTTTGACTTGTTAATACAATAATACTCCGTAGTTTAAAAGTGTTTGGACATATTTGTAATTCCTTATTTTATCTGTTTAGTATAAATATACCATCAGGGCACTGGGCACCCTATCAGGGTAAGCCAATATATTCCATAATAATATTTCATATGGTATCAGTCGCCAGGATACATGTCATTTTCTCTCAACTTTCTGGTATGTCCAATCTTCCACTGTCTTTATTGTCGCGTCCTCCTCAGCGGCCGTCATCAACGGTATGATGCCCATGCCAAGATTGGAGGAGCCATCTTCTTCCTCCACGATGGAAATTCCATCCCCTTTTGCTCAACGGTTTGGAATCGCGACAGACCCTCCCTCTAGTCATGCCTTCTCTTGATTCATAGTCTCTTTTAGTCATGGACTCTGGCCGGGCCTAGGCCCGGTCGGGCCGCCGGTTTGTATGACATGGGCCCGGGACCGGCCCGAGGGTTGGACAGGTCCGGTTCGGGCTGGGTCACCCGCCCGGGTCACGGGTCGGGCCGAGCCGGTTAAAGTTTTTTTTAATAATTTATATTTTATAGTTTATAGTTTTATACAAGTATTAAAAACAAATTTCAAGTGCATTTATTTGAAATGAAATAGGAACTACATTTGAAAATTAAAACAAACTTCAAGAGAAACATTTTGTAAATTGTAATCAATCGGAACTTCCTGCACCTCCCGATCCTTTGGCTTTGTCATATGACTTCATATGCTTCATTGTCATCCCGTATCCGCCTGAAACACCCATGCTACATTTTTCCCCGCACCATTTGCAAGTTGCGTACAACATCCCGATCTTCGGATCCTTCTGCTTATCAAAATTATACCGTATAACGACATCTTGACTTTCCATCTTAAAAAGTTAAAAATGGTAGATATAATAATCCTACAATAGATGTAGATGAAGTATAAAGTAGATATATAATAAATAAATATAATATATTGGAGAATAAGAGAATTAGAGAGTTAAGAATAGGATTTAGGAAGAATTGGAGGAGAGATATGAAAAAATGTTTAAGATTAGGAGTATTTATAGATTTTTTTACCCACACCCCCCCCACCCCCACCCCCAAACCCTTCGGACCCCCCTGCACCCCACCCAACGGCTATATAGCCGTTTGGGTTGTCCCCAGCCCACACCCCAAGGCCATAACAGCTAGTTTGGGGCCTAACAATTTTTTTATTTTTAAAATGGACCGTTGGACTCGGACCTGGGCCCGACCCGTCCGGGCCGGGTCACCTTTTTCAAGAACCGTACCCGCCCCGCCCATCCCCACCGGTTCGGGTCTACACCCGGTCCCGGACCGCCAGACCGGGCCGGTCCCGGGCCCGCACAGTAGCGGGTCAGGCCGGGTCACGGGCCGGGTGGCCCAAACCGAATCCAAGCCTAGTCTCTTTGGCATGCCCTTGCCGTTTACGTGGACTCTGACTATGCCTACCATGCCATCCCTCGTTGCCAGCATGAGTTCGTCTTCTTCACAGCTGAATACTGCTTCAGCGTCCAACGATGAACGGTCCATGTCGGTCCTGTTCTCGGGGTCCACCTTCTCTGGCCAGCTCGATGCTTCTTTTCCGCCGCCCCCACAGCCAGGTTTATCCTCTTCCTCGTCATTCTTGGCATCATTGGCATCTCTATTGACTTTTTCCAAACCCAATGTGACTAACATTGTCACTACTGGATTGCATGCGTTTGAGGATTATCTCCCATGAAGTACTCAATTCAAATCCTTTCTTGCATCCCATAGTCTTCTTGGGATTATAGATGGATCTCTTTTTGTACCACCACATTTTACTCATAATATTACCCGACAGGAGATCCCTAATCCTGAATATCATCACTGGCTTAAGATTGATCAGACGGTTAGGTCCTGACATTTTGCTACTTTGTCACGAGATATTTTGATGGAGGTTTAAGATTCAAAATTTTCTACCCGAATTTGGGATTGTCTGCAAACCCGGTTTATGAATGCTTGTATTGCTCGGGTCTATGGAGCTTAAACGTCAATTGTCTCATATTAAAAAGAAAGAGTCTCAGTCCATAGATCAATATCTTCTAGAGATTAAATTGCTAGTTGATGCCTTAAATGCTATTAATTCTCCTGTTAGCAATCGTGATTGGATTGAATATACCATCCTTGGTTTGGGGCCCGATTACAAGTCCCTCATCACAATTATCTCCTATATTTTGTGTATTGCGACACTTGAATCTGTATGGCCTATCCTTTTGGCTCAAGAACAATGTAATATTTTTCTTCGGTCCCAAGACACCGCCCTAGCTCATCAGGCTTTTGTGGCGGCATCAACAGCTCCCAACCGAGGAGGTGGTGCTCGCGGTCAAGGTGCATTTCCGCCAGGAGGTCGCCGAAATCGCGGCAAATGTGGTCCAGGGCAGAGAGTCAAGGCCACTCTTGGATGTTTTGCGTTGATATTCTTGTCATTTTTAAAAGGACTTCTCGGATTGGATTTGATTTACTCGAGATGAGTAAAGGTTTAAGTGTGGGGGTGTTTGATGCACACTAATTAGTAGTGCATAATTATATGTTTTTATGTTTCATTGATGGTGATTGTTTGCCGTTTTATTTAGTTTGTAAACATTTGTGTGGTTTTAATTGTAATTGTATTTTATTTCTCATTTGTAAGTTGTAAAGTAGAATTAGGAATTAGGATGTTGAAAAGGAGGATGTTGAAGTGAAGAAAAAGGAATTTTGACTGTCCAGGAGCAAATACCCGACCGGGTAGGAAACTTCACCCGGTCGGGTGAGAAGTGACCGGGGACAACCCGGTGTGCGAAGATCACCAAAACGTGGTGAATTATCTGATTTTGACCGGACCCGGTCGGATAAGTACTTGACCCGGTCGGGCACCCGGCCAAAGGTGTTGAAAAACACCTATAAATAGCACTCTTTTTCTTCTCCAAAAATCATCCCTTCTTCCATACTCTTAAGCTCAGTTTAGAATAGCATTTCTTTATATTTTTCTAGCTATGTTTAGTCTCCAAATGAGGAGCTAAACTTCCAATTCTTGGTGTTGCTCTTGAAGCTTGTTGATTATTAAATTTGTGAGTTATTTTCTTAACTTCTTTCCTTGAATATTAATTAAACGTTCTTTCCTTAATACCATCTCTATATTAATGTTGGGGAGTGTTGCTAAGATGACAATTAGTTAACATCTCGACATTAATTAGAATGGTATTTTCTTCCTCTATATTAATGTTGGGGAGTGTTGCTAAGATGACAATTAGTTAACATCTTGATATTAATTATAGTAGGATTCATCTTCTTTAATAATATTCTTCCTTGAATATTAATTAATTCCTACTCATATTTCATATTAATATTTTGAACATTACTTAAAGGATCAACTAGTTTTGTTTCATATATTAACTATTATTAGAAACGATCAACGAATCGATGGTTAATCGTTGATGGTTTCACAAGTAAGTAATTTCGGTTTATTAATGCACAGCCGTGGTTAATAAACTTAAGAGGGATTAATTTTGTTGGTTAAACCGAAACCGTTGTGTTGAGGTTATCAATCTCAATTGATTTCATCAAGGAGTTAGAAAGATTAAATGCTACTATTAAATCGGTATAAGGCGTTGTTCTATATTTGATTAATAGTAAGGGTTATTAATGAACGATTGTTGTTAATAACTACCCTCGATGAAGTGGATATACCCCCCGATTGAGTATTCGAGAGGGAATAAGTTATAGATATAACAATGATCGACTAAAATATATCAACAAGTGGAAAGTAGCAATGCTAAGCCCTTTTTATCTTTGAATTAAATCTCATATAGGTCGTTTGATGGATAGTGTACCCGGGGGGTAGCTTATCCGAGGGGTTATTACGGGGAGTGATAAGAGAGAAGTCAAAGCAAGCAAGTATAGAGAGAGAAAATATAGTATAAAGTGTGGAGCGTTTTCAGCGTGGTTACAAATGGGGAAATGGGGTGCTATTTATAGTAGCAATAAATGCCGGACAGGGACACGTGTCAAGCGTCCATTGGCCGAGAGGTCACCTCAACTGGTTGGGCTGGCAACCGCATGTGGCCGCATTTAATGCGGTTGTTGGATGGGACGCGGTACTTGGTACGGTGACCCAGATGCGCGTGGAGGGAAGATCCTGTCGAGTGAAGTGCCTTCGGGCACACTAGTGCCGAAGGCTCTCTGTTGCCGAGGGCACACTAGTGCCGAGGGCTCTAGGTGCCGAGGGTTGCTGTTTTTTGCCGTTTTCTCCCAGTTTCTTAGTTTGCTTGAAAAACCCGTTCTGTGAGAGGTTTGAGCCTTCGGCCAGGGGGGCGAACGCTCCCCAGTGTGCGCTGTGGGCTGCTAAGTGCTTGGGGCGCCGTAATTTGGGCCTGCTGTGCTTCCCGGGCCGGTTGGGCCTTTATTGGTGTAGTAGGAGTCTGTGGGCCGGGGGTTCCCGGGCCATATACTCCATCAGGAGTCCCTCACTCCTTTTTCCGAAAGGTACTTGAGGGAAAAGGAGTAATTTGTGCTTGGCCTTTGATGTTGTCCCGTTGTAATCTCTGAAGTTGGTGAGGAGTTGTTGCTTGCATGTCCCTGCCGAAGGCAGTCCCTCAGTTACCCACATGTCGGGACTTGAGGGATTGTTTTGCCGTTTGTTGGATTTTTTCACCATTTTGTAATTTAATGATTTTCCCGAAGGGGTTC